CAGGAATATTGCATTTCAACTCCCAATATCGCCCACCACTGCAGGAATTGGACCATCACATCTTGAGGAAATCAGGACAGAGAAACCTGAACTGAGCTAGCCTTGACTAAAGGCCAGAGTAAATAAGGCATTAAATGAAATTAAATGTGAATTTAATCTGCAGATTTTAAAGAAAAGAAGTACACTCAGTTTGAGAGAAGGCTAATGATCAAAATCATAGCAAGCAGAAAAGGAACATTCACTTTCTTTTTTGTTGTGGTCCTAAGGTAAAATGCAGCTCTGAATGTGGTCTTTGCTTTGGAGAGAAGGCAGGAACTCTCCTATTGATATACTGGGGAGCTTTCCATCAATACAAATACTACCTCTGGGAGACGATTTTCCTCTAGATTTCAAATAAAGAAGCAGAAACTCCACCTAATTCCTTGCTCCCGTCCTGATAATTTTCTGCTCCAATCCCCAAATTGATGAATGAATGAATGAATGAATGAATGAATGAATGAATGAATGAATGATATACACACACAGAGTGTGTGTATACACCAACCAACCTGCAAGAGCACTTTTTAAAATCATGTCAAGTTTGTCCCTAAATAGAACCCCCTATTAATTCATTGATCAGATTCATTGATTTGGAATGTGCCTTTTAAATATATTTTAGATTATATGGCTCTTATATTTCCCCAGAAGCTGAATCTCTTCTATGGAAAAAGAAACTCCTCACTTTATAATCAATATCTTTTTCTGGATATATACAAGCACAACCACTAATAATTATACATTATGATGGTTGAATAATTTCCTTATTAGACTCAGCTTCTGGATCCCTTCCATTAGCCTGCCTACGCTGCTATCATTTAATTGTGTGCTACAAGCAATTCCAACTTTGGTCATGTTGCACACTGAGAATGTCAGGATTGCTTTACTCCAAGTTAGAACTCTTTTTATTAATCCTTTTGAAGAAAGACACTTTGTTCCACAACCCCCTTGTTTTATTTTGGAGAAATTCTGTTCACATGACTGTATTTTCTTTCCTCTCACCTATTCATTAGGTTTACTTTAGTCTTAAACCCAACCCCAACTTTTAGACATGATTGAGAAGATTTTTTTAAAGGAATTAAAATTCAGGAAAAAATTCTCAGCAAGTCCTCAGTCTAAGCAGTATCTGGGAAGCTGGGTCATCAAACCATCAAGAGATGCCAGGAGTGTTTTTACCAAGAGACCAATTTGGCTAGCTGAAAAGGGATTATATGGATATTATGGCATGGATGGGATTGTGCATCTTTTGAATTAGCAGAACATAGACTTTGCTACTACCACACAAAACTGCAATTAACTGGAGAAGATCCTTCTGGTCTCAGCCAGAGCAATCTGCTATAAATGCAAATAGACTATGACTGGCTAAAGGAGAGATGGAAGGCTTTTTCAAAGATGAATTTTGCATTCAGTCTTGGGGGACTTGTCATGGGTCATACTTAAAGGAGGTACAAAGTCATCAAAAAGACATGGGACCAAATTGGGAAGGTGCAGAGGAAGAGGAAAAGGCATTGCAGCTGCTTTCTATGGACTGCACTGGGATATTCCCTAGGAACAGATGCCTACAGTTAGTCTTACATCATTTCCTGACAATCCTGTATAATGTCCTTCTGAATGGAAGGTACTATTCAGTTGATTACATGATGCTTTTCAGTTCTCATTAAGAACTATGTGCAAACTCTCATTAGGAGGGTTTTTTTAAGATAGAAATAGGATTGAAAAAAGCTGTCATAAATTGTGAAATTGCTAAACAGGTATGCACTGACATAAGGGGAATGGTTTGCTTATACAACTGTTTGGGGGGGACAAGCTAACTAAGAATTTGGTGTGTCATATCTTTTGTGAGTTTCTAAGTGTGTGGGAAGACAAAACTGAAAACTGTAACAATAAGGAATAATTTTGATAGTTATTTTTGAAAACAATAAACTTGAAAATGTATTGGCTAATTAACTACAGATGGCTTTTTAATCATTTAGAAGACATTTTCATTATTGTATGCTTAGAAACATAATTGGCTAAAAAGCAACCTTAAGTGTTGTTCAGAGAGACTATTTTTTGAGCAATTTCCAAACAAATGAGGAAGGGTTCCTGGTGGCCTCGGAAGGATGTTGCGGTCTGTGGAAGGATTCTCACAACCACTGGATTAAAAGCACTGTGAGGATAAGTGCTTCCATTGAAAGAGAAAAGATCTCAGAACAAATGGTTCAAAGCTGTAGAAAATGAGGGTTTTTTTTTTTTAGGAAGAAGGAAAGGTCTTTGGCATGTTAAAGAGCAGAGGCAAAGCCTCTTGAATGGGGGGACTTTTTTTCCAAAGGAGCATAACATCCCCTCCCAGTTTGTTCTTAATGTGGAATGTGTGCTATGAGTACAGACAAACAAATGGTGCTCTCTTCCCACTGCAGCAGATGCCTCCTTCCTTCTCAAACACAATGGGTGTGTGTCTGTTTGAGTTTCCATATAACCAAGCTATTTTGTTATGCACATACACAGAGAGAAAGAGATTTAAAGCAAACAGGACACAGACAGTTTTGGTTCCTATGTTTCAGTGTTAAAATCAGCCACCTTTCTGTCCTAATGCTTAAAAAGAAAACCATTCGCAAGACCAGGTTTGTGCGTTCGAAGGGAGAGAAATTCTCCACTGACACCCAGGTCTTTAAATAAAATAGGTAACATTCCTTTTGCTCTACACTAAAAGACAAAAGCAATCAGTGCTCTACATAAAGCTCAGAGAGATAAAGGTCACTGAAAATTATTGCCTGCGTGACAGAAATTTATACAGTAAAATGGAGGAAGCATGTCTGTTAATGTATCATATTAATCAGCACTTATCCAATTACAGGCTGAGGACATTCCCTGCCTCTTTAACCTTCCCAACTTTTGTATCTGATAAATGGCAGCAAAACATTTGGAAAGTAAAATGGACTGTGTGATTCTAAGGCCAAAAGATATTAAAACAGAAATCATTTTAGTAGAACCAAGAGATTACAGTGAATGAAGTATGCATTTTGGACTGTTTCATATACAGATTTAGCCTAAAGGCTGATCTGACAAATTTCATAACTTATTTTTGTTAACACTGCATTTTAGCAAACTAAAATTAAAGCTTGCATGATAAAACAGAGAACCTTTAATTTTTTTCTAGTACTGATGAGTTGGGATCTAGAATACTGTATCTGAAGAATCCCCCCGGGCTTGTCTGCTCCCAACAACATATTAAACAGCAAATACCCATGAGCTATCTGAAGCTGAAAGTAAAATTCTCCTTCCTTTTAGAAGTAGCTTGGAAGGCGGTTGTTGGAGGAAGAAAATTCCAAACCAAATTCCTTGGCTTCCTAATAAGAAGGTGTTATGCTAGTAATATTCAAAGCCTACCCACCGCACTTGCTTAACCATTGCAGAGATACCACAGGGAGAATCACATCAGTTATCCCAATTTTTGTGGAAGAAATAGCTCAATTAGGGCAAGTAATAGGAATATCTTTAGGAATATCTTCTTCCCCACCCCCCTGAATCCTGGCCGTACAGGTCTCTAAATCAGGGAGGGGAGTTGGAGCTTCAGGTAATTCCTCTCCGATGCACAGATAGTGATACTGACAAGTTGATGGGAGATGAAGGCCAGAAAGCACAGTCCAACAACTCCCCCCAAGTTTCACAATAGTACAAATTGCTCAAGTAGGGTTTGACACAAGCACATACGCTCCTGCTCCCAGCAATGTGTGACTCTACCACAGAGGAAAGTAGTGCATCTGACAGGATGAGAACACACTTGAAGGTGCTATCATAGTTCTGATGGTGTATTCACACAGTAAGAAATCCATTACCACGAGTGTTATCCTTATTTGGCTCAAATATTGGGTTGTATAATCACCATTAGGGCAGGACAAGAGTGGTTCAGCTTCATTTTACCTCATTTATGAAGTGAAATTTTGCCTAATGACAGAAAACCAACTGGCCTAGGCCAGACCATACTATGTTTTGTCCTTATGCAATGCCTTATAATCAAGCCATACTGCTGAAGCAGAGAGGGTCTGCTTCTCTAATTCTCCTGAATGCACTGATCCTTGTTTCACTTCCTACCTGGATGGGTGCAGCCAAAACACTTTCAAGATATAAGCAGTGGAAACAAGAAAAAGGGGCACAACTGATGGCATCTTCTCTACTATCTATCTGAGATTTTTCCTTGGTATTGGAGTAAATGCCTACAGGCTGCATTACTATTCAGTTTGATGGCTGCAATTTATGTGTTGAGTTTTTGCCAGCCTCAGAAGTTAGAAACCTGAAATGTAGTTGTCATTTGCAGATCAGGAACACAGAAAATTATCTAATACAAAAAGATTATTATTACATATGCTGTAAAGCCATAATGTGGTTGCTTAGTTTTGATTTAGTGTGATGAGTTTCTTGTGAGAGAAGCCATTCTGATTTTTATATTATAGCTTATGGATTAACAAGATGGGCAAACCCACTCTCTACTCAGCAAGTCATAGTTAAAGAAGCCATGATTTAACATGATGTGTGAATCTAGGTGCAGATCATTGGTACACTGAGCTCTCCAAGTTCAGGGATGTAGCTTTCCTAGGTCTATCTGTGTATGCCTTTATAGTCTCTAGCTTACATTTGTTCTGTCACTGACCTATGGCTGTCTTCCCAGGTGCCTAATTGTTCCTTTCTGCTAGTTCAGAAATAATTCAGCTTAGACTTCCATTTCGGAGTTTATTAGCTGTTCAGTAATTCCTGACATAATGCCATGTATCCTCACCATATAGCTACACATCTATATATCTAAAATTAAATTTATCTGTACACACTGACATACATACACACGGATGCATACAAACATATGCGCTAAAATATAACACAGTATATTGAGGCATTAGAAGCTCCTAAACATTTGGGCTGCATTTTCTTATTTCCATATTATCTAATAAAAGAATATGAGAACTAGCTGCCAATGGCCATCGTATTACCATTTGAAGAATTCCACTATAGGACATCAAATATCCAGCATGAGCAACTTCCAGACCAAAGAAATCGATGGATATGATGGAAAGCATAATTAGGAACACCCCTAAGGTTAAAACAAAAACAAACAAAAAACCTTATTTTAGGAGAACCAGGACATTGTTACTGCAGTTGTGAATGAGACAGAATCAGACATATCTCATTGAAGGTTATCTTAGTGGGAATATCTAATGGAGAATAAATAGCCTGTTTTAAAGAAAAGTTCATTCTCCATTATTGCTTAATAGTATGAGCAGATGAAATGTCCATGTTATTGCTTGAATTCTGTTACACGTTCCTGTTGTCTTTCATGTAGCTTTCTTAGCCGCTATATGGAAGTAGTTTACCGTTGTCTTCTTCTAGAATTTTAAACTTATTTTTTATTTGGAGACTAGTTTATAGCTCTGAGATTTCCTTGTAGTCTACCATCTAAGTGCTAACCAGGTCCAACCCTGCTTAGCTTTTTTGAGATCAGCAAAAGTTGACAAGGATCATTAGGATCAGTCATGGACCAAATTCACACTTTCTGCTTGCCCTACAGCTAGTATAGGCTACCTACCACTTCTTGAGTGCAGGAACAGGCAACATTGTCCTCCATCCACTCCCAGTCCATTGCAAATGCACTTGGGACCCAGGTCTGAAGCTCCACTTCAAAAGTGTTGCTTTCCATCCTGAGAGTCTGAAGCTCTTCCAAGTGGTTAGTCTACCATGCTTCGTTCAATTTAGCATCATCCCCAGCTCTGACTGGCTGCAGCGTCTGGCCCACCCCTCTCTTCCAGTGGCTGGTTGCTACCCTGCACAGCCATTTCACTCTGTGCCCAATGTACTGGAATGCATCCCTCCCCCTGCCTTAAAAAAACATTTAAGTTGCAATGTAGGCACGATGGAATGAAGCTACCCAGTTTCAACGAACGCTACCCCTTTGTTTCTATGAATTTAAGCCATATGTTTTTGATAGCCATGAAGTTTCTATGGACTTATAATGGAATGAAGAAACAACCTTGTGCACTTCCTTTGATTATTATACCATCAGAGCAACAATGCTACAATGGGGGATAGGGGTGGTGGTGATGGTGGGAAGAGAGGATATGCAATTGTGTCAAAGGAGACAACATGCAAAGGGAGTGTGAAGGCACCTATATGTGCATACATGGTGAGTAGTGAGGAGGGAGCAATCTTAAAAGGGACAGACAAGCACAGATAGACCTACCCATGCAGAGGCCATCTAGCAAGGCTGGCCTTCCTGCAGAGATGGAAAGGGCACGAAGTAGGGGAACAATCAGTCAGGTCCTGCAGTAGCCATAGCCTGGACTGATCCCCAACCAAGCCCCATTGCTGAATCACTGCCATTGGGACTGGAATAGCTGGGAACTGAATGGGCAGCTTACTGTCTCTGACAGAGGACTTCTTCACACTGCTGCTGATTTCATTTGTGTGTGTTCTTGGGATGCCAAGAACAAGAAGCAAAAGCCATGGTGCTGCCATGAGCTTCCACCGATCTTATAAGAAGCAAGCAAGCTGTACTCTGACCTTTTGCTCCCCAGCTGGCAGATGCTGAAGGGAGGGAACAGACCAAATGTCTGTCAATTTCATCCCTGCCCGCTTTGTCTGGGATACAGAGGTGCAGATGCAAAGCCATCACGTCAGTGTTTCCCTTACAGAATCTGAATTCAGATGCTGGGAGGAGAAGGGGCAAACAAGCAAACTAGGCTTTCGGTTGCTTCAGCTACATAGCAGCTGAGCCTGAAATAGGTCAGCTGTCCAACATTGCTGAGCTGTGGGAAGACCGAGGTCTAGAGCAGCTTTCAGACTGGCCCCAAATCCTCTTGGGAAGTGCCCTGGGAGGCTCCAGTTCTCACGCAAGTACTTTTCTCAGCCTGAAGAAGACCTGAGTCAAGGATTTAATCTACACAAAGCACGGACTCTGATGTGCCTTTCCTTTTCAGTCCTTCTGAAACCTCTGTGTTCGATCTAAGCTTTTAAGCATCTCTCAGATTCCAAACACCATGTCCTTTTCTGGAACATAAGAACCCAAGGCTTCTAAGTTGTATTCTTGTTAAATATGGTATGGATTGCCCCTCTTCTCATGTGCATTTGCCCTGAGTCTGAAGAAAAACATTCCTTCCAGGGGAAATCTGCACAAGACAGCAAAGTTCACGTACAGCAAAGTCATGCTTTCTAAAATGGTTTCCTTTAGGGTTATCTGATTTGAATTTTCTAACAAGAGGACATTATGGACAGGTGGTATTTTACCTCACGTGTAGCCAAAAATGTCTCTGTTTATATGTTCGTTTGTCTATCCCACCTTTTCTCTGAAAATTTCCCCTCATTTTATTCTCAAAGCAACAATCCTCAGGGGAAGGCTTGGCTGAGAAAGAAAGCTCAGGAGTTCTATGGTCAAATGGAAACTTGAATCTATTTGAAGTACGATCATTTTACACAAACAACATCATAAACCTGTTCAGGACCTTTCACTTTATGAGGTGCCAGGGGAGTGGATCAGGCAACAGACCTTCTCAATGATGGCTCCTACACATTATGCTTTCTGGAAGCAAGTTAAAATGCTACTGTCCCAGTGGGCTTTTGGCCTGTAGCTTTCTCTGAAGGCATTCGTAGTTGAGTTATTATTTTAATTGTCATTTTTACTGAATTACATTGTGAACTGCTGTATACCACTGAGAGTCTATATGGATTGGGGCAGCCTATAAATATTGTTAAATACATAATAAACACACACAACACTACACAGAGACACATACAGCTTACTGTGTTCCTTCTGTGCTGTTGCCTTTACTGCCTGTTCCTGTGTTAAGAAAATAAAACCTCGCTTGATTGACACTTGATTCTGGTGACTGGATGGATGTGTCTATGACGGGTTTGGGAGCAGCAACAGGAAAGTTGCCATTGTCTTCTCTGGGAAGATACACACATACACACTTCCCACTCTAATCTACAGCCTTGGTATTCCCCGCTGAACTCCCATCCAAGCACTAACTAAGGCCAGCCCTGCTTCAATTTCTCAAAGTCAGCCAAGGTCAGCCAAATGCTGGAGTAATCATAGCAACACTGACAGAAGTAAGCTGGACCCAGGACTGGGGCGGGGGGGGGGGGGGG